GGTTCGCGGACGATATAGTCCTGATAACAGACCGCATAGATCATGCCATCGAAATGTGCGAAAGACTCTACCATGCCTCTACACAAGTGGGTTTTAAGATCAATAACTCAAAAACACAAGTGATGACAAACCTTGTTCTGAGTGAGAACATCAACATAGCTGGAACAAGTATAGAACAAACATCAGCATACAAATATCTGGGACACGAAATTCGCTTAAGTAGAGATAACCAGACCAATGAACTAATACGTAGAATAGGGTTTACATGGGCAGCTTATGGAAAGCTAAGAGATGTTTTCCAATCAGCTCTTCCCAACTGCTTGAAGAGAAAAGTCTTCGATCAATGTGTGCTGCCGGTTCTAACCTATGGTGCGGAGACGCTAACACTTACTAAGACGTCCGCAAACAAAATTCGAACAACACAGAGGGCAATGGAACGGTCCGTGTTGGGATTAACCCTGAGAGACCGAATACCCAACACAGAATTGCGCCGTAGATCGGGAGTAACCGACGCAATCAAAAGAATATCAACCTTAAAATGGAACTGGGCAGGGCACGTCGCGAGAACGAAGGACGGCAGATGGACAAAACGCATTCTTGAGTGGAGACCCAGACAAGATGCCTTTAGGAATAGAGGACGACCACCAACAAGATGGACGGATGACCTGAAACGGACACATCAAAATTTGATGCAGGCGGCTCAGGACAGAAATTTGTGGGGTGAACTACGGGAGGCCTATGTTCAGCAGTGGACGAATATGGGCTGAATGATGATGATGATGATGATTCATATTGTTATATCGCACACGCCTGATTACGGCCCCGTGCTTTAGGGAAGTCAGAAATTGTAGGTCATTTTGTTATCGCAACAGGGGGGCATCTTGAATTCTCTAGCCTTTTCTATCGATGCGGAGATTCTTAGCGCTAGTAAGTAATTCCAGAAATTAATTTCTGTGCATATAATCCTGCCGAGGGAGCATTAGATTATTAGTATCGACGAATTGTTTTATAAGCAATATCAAGATGAATTGTAAGCGATAATTATTAATATAATTAAAGTTTTTATTAATTGTAATTAAGTTAGTTTCTGGAGGTAAACAAAATTAGTAAACAAACAAGCAATATTGTTATGTGGTTAGTATGTTATGGTTTTTTATATGTATTAAACCAAAAAAACAGACTAATAAAAGGTCAACTCAACGTCAATCAATCCTCTGTAGAAAGAGTGACTCACTACAACTACCTAGGTACCATAATAAATAAAGAATGGACCAACAATCAGGAGATTAGAGCACGCATCAGAAAAGCTAGATCCACCTTCAATCGGGTGGGGGCCTTCTTCAAGAGTTACAACCTCTTTCTTAATACAAAAGTAAGAATGTTGCGATGCTAGGTCTTCTCTGTCCTTTTATGGTGTTGAATCGTGGACCTTGAACGAAGATATATGCAGAAAACTAGAAGCATTTGAGATGTGGTTATATCGGAGAATACTTAAGATCCCCTGGACTGACCGAGTCACAAATGAGGAGGTTCTCAGAAGAATAAATAAGAACCGAGAGGTACTGATCACCATCAAATCTCGAAAATTACAATTCTTGCTCTCCTTCAAGCCATCGTGCAAGGAAAAATATTTGAAAAACGAGTTCCAGAGAGAAGAAGAACATCTTGGCTTAAGAACCTCTGACTAAAGATTCAATACAACATCTGTGCAGCTTCTCCGCTCTACTGCGGATAAGATAAAGGTTGCCATGATGATCGCCAACATTCGTAACGGATAGGCACATCAAGAAGAAGAAGAATGAGGATAGTCTAATCTGATCTACTACTACTAACCGACTCCTAACCGCCATTCTCCTCTATTCAACCATAGGCCTGGAGGGATTTCTCTTACCTCTAGTTCTTTTTCAATTCCCTTTCTCCAGCTTCTTCTCGGTCTTTCTTTTTTCCTTCTCCCTTGTGGTTTCCACGTAAAAATCTATTTTGGAATCCTGTATCTGGCATTCTCTGTACATGGCCGTACCATATTAACTGTTTTGTTTTTATACTCCGGTCAAAATAGACATTGAAGGTTACATTAATTCGTACCTTCCTAAAAATTGGCATGATTGTTGGGAACCCTATTATACACAATTTGTCAATTATCCACATCAATCCGGAGTGTGGAAAAAAATTTATTCAAGGTCAAATGTTGCAAAAATCGGTTTTTTGAGTTTTTCAGCTAAACGGTAAGTTTTATAATAAAAATAGGTGAGACAAAAATGATTCATCATGCAATTATCTATAAAAATTGTTCCTACACATTTTTTCCTAAGAATCACCATTTCGAAGATACAGCGATGCAAAATGTTGAAAAAGTTGTATTCTTCATAATATGCATGTCAATTACCGTAATATACTTTACAGAGCGATAATATAAGTTAAAATATTTATTTTCGTAGCGTATAAATACATATTATACAGTTATAAAAATATAAACTCGAAAAAGAACCAGTCCCTCATTTTATATGACCGTACGGCCATCGAAGATGAAATTGAGAAATATTTCGAATATGAATTGGCTCCGTATCCGTTGTCACTGTTCGATGATTCTGGAATGCGTAAATCACAAAAGTCAGCTATTTACGATTGTTTTGAAACAGTAAACATAGATATTGACAACATAAATGCTACGTACATAATCGACGGAGGATATCTATTACATCGTGTAGTGTGGGATCACGAAGAAACATTTAACCATATTTTAGATAAATACGTGCAGTATGTACATAGACATTTTGACCATAGAGTGACTGTGGTATTTGATGGCTATGCTGATTCTACAAAAAATATTAAAGCTGCAGAACAACGTCGTCGAGCTACAACAACATCTTCATCTTCGGACGGCATTTTTGATGAATTTATGAGAGTTACCACAAGCCAACAGAAATTTCTCGCAAATACACACAACAAGTCTCGGTTTATTTCAATGTTGAAAGAAAAATTTACGTCTGAGAATATCTCTGTAAAGCAAGCTGATAATGATGCTGATGTCCTGATAGTTGAAACAACAATAGAACATTTTAACTCGACAAATCCAACTATTCTTGTTGGTGAAGATGTTGATTTGTTGGTATTACTTACTGCTCGAACACCAACTGAAAAAATTATTTATTTTTTGAAACCTGGGAAGACTCAACAACAATCAAAAATATATTCATCCAAGAGTTTATCTGCTTTTTCAAAATGCCAAAATCATATCTTATTTCTACATGCAGTAACTGGTTGCGACACGACATCAGCATTTTTCAGGAGAGGTAAAAGATCAGTTTTGAAATTGTTTGAGAGACAGGATTTACTTGATTGTGCTGAAGTTTTTCAAAGAAAGTACCTCTATTCCACAAGATGTAATGACCAACGGAATTCGCTTTCTTCTTTCAATGTACGGAGCTCCAAAAAAATTACATGCTTGGATAAGTTTCGATACTTATCTTTTGCAAAAGAAACATATAAAAAGAAACAAGTACAATTAGCTTGTCTTCCTCCAACATCTGCTTCTGCCCATCAACATCTATTTCGGGTATATTATCAAGTTCAAGTATGGCTTGGTAATAAACTAAACCCAGAAGACTGGGGTTGGAAGTTAATTGACAATATATTGGAACCAGTTCAGACTTTACTCCCTCCTGCACCAGAAAAACTCCTCAATTCAATTTTTTGCAATTGTAAAAAGGGATGTAATGCTAAATGCGGCTGTAAAAAAGTTGGTTTGTTTTGTTTATTAGCATGTATCAGTTGTCGAGGCCAATCGTGCTCCAATGTTGAATCGCCAGTAGAAGAGGATTCTTACGATATAGACGGGGAGACATCTGATGCATCGCTCTTTGAACAATTTATTTGTACCCAGAAAGAAGAAAAAGAAGAAGAAGAGCAAGACAGTCTGGATTATGTTCCATTAGAAGAGTATCTATCAGACGAATAATTTTCTTAATTTACACATTACTTACACCGCTCTTGTTATTTACAATAGTACCATTTTCAATTTAATATAATAGCTTTTTTAACTTAACAGAAGCACAATAGATCGTGGAATAGGCCTACCGGGGAAACCACGTAAAAAAAACGCGCCATGTACACTACCTCACGGGTGGCGCGGAAACGTGTGCATATTATGAAGAATACAACTTTTTCAACATTTTCGCTGTATCTTCGAAATGGTGATTCTTAGGAAAAAATGTGTAGGAACAATTTTTATAGATAATTGCATGATGAATCATTTTTGTCTGACCTATTTTTATTATAAAACTTACCGTTTAGCTGAAAAACTCAAAAAACCGATTTTTGCAACATTTGACCTTAAATAAATTTTTTTCCACACTCCGGATTGATGTGGATAATTGGCAAATTGTGTATAATAGGGTTCCCAACAACCGTGCCAATTTTTAGGAAGGTGCGAATTAATGTAACCTTACCCCTATTTTTGATGCTAACTTGACCGGATTATTATGTCATCAACTATTGTATGCTTGACTCCCATCATTTCTCGTATTCTCTCATTTGGTATCCGATCTCTTCTTGATTTGCCTGCTGCTCTTCTCCAGATAGTCTAATCTGATCAAAAATGAATAAATAAAAACAAATTAAGAAGTAGGAGCCTTACAAAATATAGTGGCGCCACTTTTTCGTGACAGTAAGTGTTGCTTTTCTTTATCAAAAATTCTTATTTTGTAACGAATTATTTAAACCAGAATCTAGAACTCTAGCCTATACCCATTAATTAAAAAACGATTATGGGTATAATAATTTGTTATTTATCACTATTTTAACGAAGCATTATGATATAAAAGTTCTTATCTTATTTACTCCGCTAGACATTAGATATTAAAAAATATTTGTTAATTAGGTATTCTTGATACATTGTTGACTTTTTGATTTAGTACGTGACCATGAAAGATTTACAAGAGGTATTATGATTTAGCCTTAGAAAAAACTGTGTTACTTAGTTCGTTTTTGTTTTCTTGCAGGTTGGAGTAGCTTCGTTTGTGTTAGCGTTAATATGGATTTTTGCAAGAGGAAGAAGATACCGGTTGTTCTATATTATATATAAGACATGGAGGCGGGAAACACTGTAAGTTATTATTTACATTTTTGTATTTAAACATGTATGATCATTTGCTTTGTTTTTATCCTTATGGGGATGATATTTTCGAATACTCGAACAACAGAGGAATTTGACTTCTATATAGGGTAACGGTTACAGTTGTTGGCCGGTCACTAGTTTGAAGACCCCTTCGAATTTGTGTGCTTCTGTCATGTATGCTCATGTATTTCTTTTCTATACGTTGACGTGCAGTCCTATTGTCTTCGCCTCTTTTTCTAATGTTTCAAAAGCCTGTATCAGTTCTCGTTTTGTCCGTGTTACTATATCAATGTCATCTGTGTAGGCCAATATCTGTACGTACACTTCTATTGAGGATCGTATCTCTGGTTGTTTTGTCCGATTTCTCTATGGCTCTTCTAGCGCGATGTTAAACAATAGGTATGATATACTCTCTACCTGGTGTAAGGGAGATTTGTCTAACTACGACCTTAAATTTAATTAGTAACAAAATACGTTGATCTTTCAACATCAATATTTAACGCTTGATCCTCAGTTTATTATTTCTAAACCAACTAACATCCACATATTTTATTTGCGCATGATATCTTTTAGCCTCTTTAGTTTTGGTGTTCAAAAATGATTTATTTATTTGTCATTAAATTTAACTTTTTTGCAGAGGTGTGTGGCGTGGTGCAAAAACGATTCTAACCGCGCTAATGATAGAGATGAGGAACGAAACAATACCAAAACTTTTTCAGAAAACGGTGCGAAGGAAAGGCAATAAAATTGCTTTTTATTTTGAGGATGAGCAATGGACATTTAACAAGGTAAAAATATATTTTAATTTTTGTTAATGTCAGTACATTTTTTGGACACCCTTTCCAACTCTCTACATGTGTGTAAATAAAATTTTTGTATATAGAACCACCAATGCTCACATAGTTAGGAACGATAGTAACGTTGAATACACAAAGCCTATATGAGATGAGAATAATAAAAAATTAACAATGAAAGTAAAGGGGAAACAACAGTTTGTCCTATTTCCCCATGTTAAATCGAACAAGAAATTGCTAAGGATCATTCTGGTCATTTTTGACGTATTTCTTGATTTTTGTTGACATGTTTTATGTCACACGTCACGTATTATGTCGTGTTTTATGTCATACGTCAAGTATTAGGTCACATGTCACGTTTGTTTGTTTTATACTTAGCCAAAGTCTTAAGTCAATAAATCAAAATTTGTCTTATAGTAAATCTATTTTTATCTATAGTGCCCTACGATATTTCGTATATCGATATATGACGAAATTAATTAATAACGAAGATGCTACGAAGTGCACTTTTGGCAGTCGCCTCGTTTGCTTTTGCTTAATATAATCGTTGTCCCTTTCCATTTTATTTAACACATCACACGCTCCAATCATATCAATAAAAACAGAGATATATTGTAATGCAATCTAGGTTTGACATCCATATGTCATGATAGGAAGGATGCATTGGTTGAACACTTTGCTCCTTAAGTATTGGGGTATTTTGCGGTTCTTAAGTATCCAACTAAGTTTTCCAAATCCTGCCCATGCTAGTCTTGCTCTTCAAGTAATTTCCGCACTTTGGTTCTCTTTGTCAAGTCTCAGGATTTGGCCTAGGTAGATGTATTCCTGGATTTGTTCTATCTCACTGCCGTTTATAGTTATATGTCTGGGGTCTTCTGTGTTTGTCATTATTTTTGTTTCTTTTATATTCAATTTTAGACCGACTTATTGGGAGCTGGCTGCTAGTTCCCCCAACATAATTTGCAGTTCCTCGAATGTGCTCGCTATAATCACTATGTCGTCAGCGAATCTGAGGTGGTTTAACTTGTTGCCATTAACGTTAATGCCATAGGTTGACCAATTTGTAGTATTGAAGACGTCTTCTAGGGCTAGGTTAAAAAACTTTGGCGATATTACGTCTCTTTGTCTCACTCCTCTCTTAATGGGGATTTTCATCTAGTTGTACTATGATAGTTGCATTTTCATATATATTATGTATTAGTTGCCTATATCTCGAGACTATTCTTCAATTATTAATAGCTTGTTCTATGGCCAACATTTCGATACTATCAAACTCTTTTTCATAGTCGACGAAGGCAAGAAATACGGGTAGTTGGTATTCATTTGCCTACTCTATCAATGTTCTCATTGTCAGCAGATGGTCTGATGTACTATATCACATTTGTCTCCTTTTTTGTGTAAGAGTATTACTAGACTCTCGTTCAAGTCTTTAGGGATCTGGCTATTATGGAGACATCTATTAAATAGCTCTGTTAGTACAGGGATTGTTAATGTCTTGCTTGTTTTCAAGAGCTCGGCAATTATACCGTCGTGTCCTGGAGCTTTATTATTTTTTTAGTTCTTTTAAAGCTCTTTCTATTTCGTATCCCTTTATATTTGGTAGTACTTCTGATCCCACGTTTTTTATTTTTCTTTTGGCGTTCTCCTTTGTTGTTTCATTAGGCTGGCCTTGCGAGCTGTACAAGGATGTGTAGAAGTCTTCGACAATATTTTTTATTTTATATTTGTCCTTCTCTACCTTATTGTTAGCGTATTTAATTTTGATGATTTTTTGAACTCCCAGTGCGGGTCTTAGACATTTTAAGCCTCTGTTGTTTTCAATGACTCGCTCCATTAAGTTCTCGTTCCATTTTTGTATGTCGAGTTTTAGTTTTTTTCTAATTGTTTTATTAAGTTCTCTATATTCTTGAGTATGACGTTTGTTTTGTGCTAGTAGTTGTCTTCTTTCCGTCATTAGCTGTTTAGTTTCATTGCTTATTTTGTCTTCTTTAGTCTTTGTTTTCTTTGCGACCTGTAGTCCTGCTGCGAGAAGGTTTTTATTAATCTCGTCAATTTGATCTTGATTATGTGAAGAATCAGATTCGAACTTATCCGCTAAGACCTCTCGGAATTGCTCTTCATTTGTTCTTAGTTTAAAGGCATCTATCCTCTTTGTTTTTTTTTTTTAAATTCTTTTTCTTTCTTCTTTTATGTCAATATTTATTTTTGCTCTGACTATACGAAGATCACTGCCCGTTGTTACGTTGTTTATTGTTGTGACATCTTCAAATATTCCTTTGTTGTTTGAGAGAAACCTTGCCTTGTATATTTCATTAAATATTTCAGTTAATATTTTTATTTGTTCTGCATCTATAAGCTTCCGTAGGAATTTCATCAAGTTCCGGTGCCTTTCCATCTTGCCTATTAATTATGTTTATATCTTAAATTTTTGGTGCGTCTGGTTATTGATTCGCTTACATTGTGTTTGAAGCCTTGTTGGACCTACATACTTGACTTATTTAGCTGGAAATAATTGTAGTAAAATAAAAATAAACTGCACGAAGTGGAAAGAAGTAAGCGATCTACTGTATAAATGGTATTGATTGACGTCTACTCGTAGCTGTTATTTTGAACTGCCTTTGTTTTCATTCTTTAACTATCGAGATGAAATGTTGAAATATTTTTTAAACAGTATATAATAATAAAACAATGGTATAACAAACAATAAATAATTAAACAATGGTATAATACTTATCATTTTAGTACCATTGATGACAAAAATAATTACACAATTATAATGTATATAAATAAGTAATACTGTTTTCACTTACAAGGCTACTATTGACCTTATAAATGTGACTTGCAGTGAATCAATTATTTTATGTAAATCTGCTTTGACCGCATAGTGTATAGCTAACTTTTGCATAATTTAAGTTAATTTTTTCTTGAATTTCAATATAATTAATGAATGCAAAGGTATTATTAGGCTTACGTTAGTTTGTTTACTTCTTCCTTTAATTTTTACAGTATGCCTCTATCTAAAATAACACTGTATTGCTTGTCAAATTTAACGTGATACTTGCCAGATTTGGAATTAGGCTCTACCCACGATGCGCATTCGACCATAACACAATTCGCCCTTATTATTTCTTGGCCCTTCGAAGTGCAAGGTACTTAACTTGTATAGTCTGCGACAAAGTCTTTTTTATTTTACGTATGTTTGAAGTTACTGTGTGTTGAAGAAATATCGTATTACAATAGATTTGACTTTTTAAATAATTATTGTTAAGTATTGTAAATTACAAACATGGATTTTCATTCAAAATTAGAAGGCAAAGTCTTGTCTGGACAAACGAGGGAGGTAATAGCAAATGTAATTATTTTTATGCAGAGAGAAGCGACGCAAAATCCGCATGTTAATTTTAAAAAAGTTTGAGCGTGCTTCCTTAGCAACGGGAGTAAGTATAGCCACTATAAAACGGATCTCTCGTGAAATGAAAAATATAGAGGAAGGTGCCTCTACATCATGTTCGACGCCTAACAAAAGAATGAGATCTGCCCCAAAATCCAACTTGGGCGATTTTGCGTTCCAACTTGAGCGAAAAAAAATTAATGAAGACAATATTTATACAGGTTCGCATGAAACTTTGAGAAAAGTGATGAGAGATATGGGATTTCAATGGAAGAAAGCGAAGAATAACTGGAAAAACCCGATATACAACTGCTCCGGGGGAACTTTCTCAGAAATATTAAATAATATATGGAAGAAAATCGGCACATAATTTACATGGATGAAACTTATATTCATTCCTCTCATACCCATGACAGATACTGGGGAGACAATACCACCAAAGGTTTGCACAAGCCAGTGTCCAAAGGGCAAAGGCTAATTATTGTTCACGCCGTCGGCCAAATGGAGTTCATAAAAAACGTATGCTTGACATTTAAATCTGGTACGAAGTCTGGAGATTATCATAGCGAAATGAACTATAATAATTATAAAAAAATGGATTCATGAAAAACTTATTCCTAATATACCAGCCCGTAGTGTATTGGTTATAGACAATGCATCATACCACAATGTCCCAGTGCAAAAATGTCCCACTATGGGGTGTAGAAAAGACGAAATGAACGAATAGTTAAGACAAAAGAACATTTCCTTTTCAGACGAAATGATAAAAGCAGAATTATATATTCTAATAAAAATTCACAAACCCAGAAATAAAACTTATGAAATAGATCAAATTATTAACAATGTAGGTCACTCTGTCTTAAGACTACCCCCCTACCACCCGGTAGGGGTAAAATATTTATGACTTACTAAAATGTTAAAATGCCGAAGATCCGAAGAATAAAAGTATATATGACTATAATATAAAATATTACGACAACTTTAGTATAAAAATTAAGTAATAAATGTTTCGTCGGTACAGTTTCTGTAAATCTATCTATCTCTGCCAATATTCCTCTAATAAAATTACAGAACGAGACATTTATAGAGATGTTTGAAAAAACTGCCGCTTCAACATGACTGAATGGTCAATATTAATGGGTCAAATAAAATATAATTATTAGAAAATTTTTTTATCAAGTAACAAAAACAAAATTTTTTGTATTTTAAGAAAAAATTCCGAAGGAAAAATTTAAACGTCAAAATAACATAGAATAGAATAGAATAGAAATATGCTTTATTGTCACTGAGAATTATTGAACAATTTTATGGACAAAGCTAAAAAATAAATCAGTCAAATAATACAAAAAGTATAAAACAAAAACAATATAGTAAAAAACAGAATAACACAATTTTAAATTAGTAAAATTATTGTATAACCTACATAATTTGTACAGACAACAACAAATGAGACAAATTGTAGCCACTGCTTGAGACACCCAAATGTAATTATAAACAATACTAATTTTGTTTCTTTGTTATACATTAAGAAACTCGTCAACTGAATAATATGGTCTTTCTGAGAGATAGATTTTTGTCACCTTACGAAACTTAATGAAGGATATTGCTGATTTAATTTCTCTTGGAAGGTGATTATAAAGTTTCTTTGCACGATATAGAATAGAATTCTTTACTAGCTGAGTGGACGGGATCGGCAAATAAACGTTACAATCCGAATTTCTAATGGAGTAGCCATGGTCAGGTCTATCGGGAAAAATGTTTAGATGCTTTCAAATCAAACAAACCGTTTCCAAAATAAATAAAGAGGGAAGCGTCAAAATTCCGTGATTTTTGAAGTAGGTCTTGCAATGAGTTGTTTGTTTGAGACCAAATAGATAACGGATTGCTCTTTTTTGCAACTTAAAAATAGTATCAAATTGGGCCGCTGTACTAGAACCCCAAAATGGAAGCCCATATCGAAGATGGGACTCGAACAATGAGAAATATGCCATTTTTGCAGAAGATAAATTTAGTTCCTTCGAAACAGATCTTATTGCAAAGCAAGCTGAGGCTAGTTTCTTCCTTAAGGAGTCAGTATGCAAGGACCATTTGAGATCACTGTCAATGAGAATACCTAGAAATTTCACGGAATTTACGATATTGATTTGGCTCTCATTCAAAAGCAAGGGTTGCATGGCTCCTTTATAAGATAATGCTACAGTCTTATCCACGTTAAAGCTAAGTAAGTTGGAGTCTGACCAAGCCTTGATTATAAGTAAATCATCGGTTATAATTGAATGAAGCGTTGAAATATCAGAGCTGCTCCAAGTAATACTGGTATCATCAGCAAATAGAAAAATTTTCCCTTTAATTTTCAAGTAAGTGATGTCATTAATGAAAAGTAAAAAAAGGATGGGGCCTAATACTGAACCTTGCGGTACTCCACACTCAATATCTTTACAACTAGAGTCGGTGTCATTTATTCTAACCAATTGTTTCCTACCTACCAAGTAAGTTTTGAACCAGTTCAAAGACACACCCCGAATTCCATAGAAAGTTAATTTTTTTAATAGAATGTCGTGATTTACGCAGTCAAAGGCTTTGGAATAGTCGCATAAAACGGTGGCGGAGGAGAGGAGAGTGACTGTTTAGTGATAGATATACATCATGTAACACAGAAAATATGGCATCACTAGTGCATTTATTAGACAAAAAGCCGAACTGATTTTGCGATAAAATATTATATTTAAGGAGAAAGGGCATAAGTCGAACTTTTATATGTCTTTCAATAATTTTTGATAGTGCTGGTAACAAGGCAATAGGTCTATAGTTGCAGGCATCAGATTAACAAAGTAATCATTTAGATTTTCGGGGTTAGGAAAAGAAAAGGTTTGATTCGCTGTACTGGTTTTATTTCGAAAATCGTTTATTATTGACCAAGTTTCTTTTGAAATGTTTTTGGAGCTTGTTAAGCGATTATGAAAGTAGGATTTTTTGGCTACTTTGAGTAGTTTTATATAGCATTTTCTGTACTTGTTGATATAATCAGAGATGGGGATACTGTCATTAAATTTTTTAATATATAGCAGAGAACGCATATTTTTCGCAGATATGCGAATGCCTTTGGTAATCCAAGGTTTATTATGTTTTGGCCTGATGTTTAATAGAGGAAATACTTTATTAAAAATAGATACAAGTCTATTTAGAAAATCACTAACATTACAGTCATTGTCTCCAGAAGAAAAACTCCAGTCAGAAGTCAAGCATGAATTATAGAATTTTCGAAAGTTTTGAGTGGAAAAAATCCTACCTAATCGTCGGGTTTTTGAGTGAGGTGTTTGTAAACTGCTAAACTTGGTATATACCGTTTCATGATCAGAAAGCCCCCACTAATAACTGTAGAATGGACGTCAGCGGGTGGAAAATCGAAAACCACATAATCAATTGTCGAGGATGATGTTTTTTGAGATTCTTGTTGGAGAATTAACGTGCATTGTGAGACCATATGATTCAAAAATAGTTACCAAAGACAGTTGGGTCGCACAAACATACAATATAGACATATCATAGAAGTTCCATTAATAAGGTCACTCTCTGTAAACTTGTAGTATGGAGTGTATTATACCAACGAGGCGAAAAGACCGAGCGCATTATGTATATCTTTTCCTCCGAATGCGTTCTTTTCTACGCAAGTGGACAAATTTGTCAAATATTACCTTAAATTTGACAAGCTGCACCTAAGTTATTTAAAATTTAACCGTTATTTTGGCAATTTCTTTGGTATCTTTTGTTTTATTTTTCTGCATTTCAGCTATAAGTCATTAATTGGTTAAGTTAAAAACATTTTATAAGTATTTATACGTCTATATCCATAACTTTTAGGTAGATGAGTACAGTAATAAAGTTGCAAATTATTTTCTATGCCTGGGCTACAAAAAAGGTGACAGCGTAGCTCTTTTATTGGAAAACAGACCTGAGTACGTTGCTATATGGCTAGGATTGGCAAAAATAGGAGTTGTTACTGCTTTAATCAACAACAATTTGGTATCGAAGTCTTTACTACACTGTATTAGTATTGTGAATGCCAAGTCAATTATTTTTGGATCTGATTTTGTCAATGGTAAGCGAATTGTTAAATTTTTTTATATATATAAATTATAAAATACAGTAATTTTGGCCAAAATGGTATTTTCAATCTTTATATTTGTTTTGTTCACAGCTGTAGCCGACATACAGTCAGAGTTAGGCGGTACCATGTTACTTCAGTTAAATACTTCTTCTGTGGAAGTCATGAGAAATGCCCTTGATTTTCAAAAATGTATTTCGGGACGTCCAAAAACAGTATCCTTGCGATGTGGTGACATGAATGACACAATTTTGTACATTTTCACTTCTGGAACGACTGGTCTACCCAAAGCTGCCAAGATCACTAGCTCCAAGTAATTGCTATTACATTTTAACATTTGTTTTATATTTATATGTTAAGACGGGTGTACACAGGGCATGTTGTAGTGCGTTGTTACATACAATACTGCAATATCAACAAATGTATTATGTAATGTTTATGACATTCACCAAATTGTTGGATAGACTATAATTTTAACGAAAATCCCTTGAAGATGCTCTAGGAACGAAAGTGCTTGGGCAAGATTTAATAAAAAACTGTGCTCTGTGCATGCTTTAAAGATGTTGATTAAAAGTATTATTTGAGTTTGAATCGGTGATACAATAAATAATATAAACAAGAAATATACTCTTTTAGGTACAGCTTTTCTGCTCTTGGCGTATACTATATGGTTGGAATATCAGAAGATGACATCTATTACAGCCCACTACCATTGTATCATGCTAGTGCTGGAATGTTGTCGTTAGGTTTGTGTCTTATATGTGGTGTTCCAATAGCCCTAAGAAAAAAGTTCTCAGCTTCTGCGTTTTGGAGCGACTGTATCAAATACAATTGTACAGTAAGTAGACACTTTCTACATGAATTGGTAAACCGTTTATTAGTGAGAAGTATACAATATCCTCTTCTTTTTTGCGTATCCACTGCTTTCCAGCTACAGCAGTTATATCGTCTATCCATCTCTTTTTAGGTCTTCCCACGCTTCTTTTTGTTTCTCGAGGTCTCCAGAATGACACTTTATGAGACCATCTGTTGGTGTCTTGCTACATGTGCTAGCCATTGCCATCTCAATGTCTCTATTTTTCCCATGATGTCGGTTACTTTAGTTCTTCGACGTATTTCGGTGTTCGGAATTTTGTCTCTGAGGCTTATATTTAACATGGCCCTCTCCATGACCCGTTGAGTTACTCTTATTTGTTCTGCCATTTTTCTTGTTATTGCCATAGTTTCCAATCCATAAGTTGCAACCGGTAGTATACAAGTGTCATAGGTTTTTCGTTTTAAGTGAATTGGGATTTTTCTGTCTTTTAAAATAAAGCTCAACTTACCAAAAGCAGCCCATGATAATTGTGTCCTTTTAATTTCTAGGGTTTGATTTTCCTTTTCGTTTTTAATTGCATGTCCTAGATATATATATATATATATATATATATATATATATATATATATATATATATATATATATATATGTTGTTCTACCTTTTCTATATTGATATTATCTATCGTGATGTTTTCTAGGCTGTTGCTTAATATCTTTGTTTTGTCGAGATTCATTTTTAATCCTATTTGATTCGATTTATGATTTAAATCTTGTAGCATTGATTTTAGTTCATGGATATCTGTGCTTATTAGTACTATGTCGTCTGCAAAACGCAAATGGTTAAGATATACTCCATCTATTTTTAATCCATTTTCGGCCCAATTTAGTCGTTTGAAAACATTTTCTAATGCCAAAGTAAATAACTTGGATGAGATGGTGTCGCCCTGTCTTACACCTTTGCCAAGGTCTATTTTCATAGTTTCCAGATCAGCATCTATTTTTACGTGAAAAGTAGCATCATCGTATATATTCTTAAGGAGGGCAGCATATCTTGAATCTACTTTGGCGTCGTCCAATGCTGTTAAGAAAGCCCATTTCTCGATACTGACGAATGCTTTGTGATAATCGACAAATGCCAGATGTAGTGGTATGTTGTACTCTATTGTTTTTTCAATAATGGTTCGAATTGTTTGCAAGTGATCGATAGTGCTAAAACCCTTACGAAGGCCTGCTTGCTCCACTGGTTGGTATGCATCTAGTTTAGCTGTCAATATATTTGTTATTATTCGGGTTAGTAGTTTGTAAAAGTGTGACAATAAGCTTATTGGTCGGTAGTTTTCTATATTTGCAGCGACCCCTTTTTTATGGAGTAGAATGACTTCCGCATTTTTCCATGTCTTCGGTATTTGACCTTCCAATAGGCATTTATTAAGTAATGCTCTTATTGTCTCTTCTAATGCAGTGCCTCCCATTTTTAGTATCTCTGAAGTAATTTTATCTTCTCCTGGTGTTTTTCCATTTTTCATTTGTTTTAGGGCGGCTCTAATTTCTGATGTTATTATTTCAGGGAAGTCCTCTGAGCCCACATTTAAGATATGTTTTGTTGGTATACCGGGGTTCGGAATAGTAGAAGTATACAGCTTCTCATAAAATTTTCGGATTTCTCTAACGATCTCTTCCTTATGCGAGCACAATGTTCCACGGTCGTCTTTTATCTTTATGATTTTATTCCTGCCAGTGGATTTACATGTTTTTAGTACTTTCATGTTCTTATTGTTTTCTATGGTTTCAAGAATCTGGTTTGTTCTATACACTCTGAGGTCTTTTCGAATATTTTTCTTAACGCTTCTGTTGAGCGCTTTATAATCCGGGTTATCTCTGTTCGTTTTTCTTCTTTTCTCTATCTGTTCTAGAGTTTCGGGTTTTAGTTTAGCTTCCTTTTGTTTTCTTATTCTGCAACAAACTTTCTTAGTGACTGTTTGTATGTCTTTAGTTATTTTCTCAGCTAGTTCATCTATATTTTTGTGCTCAAAGGTATTTGCTACTAGTTTCCGTGCTAATTCCTCTTGGTATTTCTCTTTATTACTGGCTAGGATGTCTGCCGTCGGTAAAGGGTTTGTTGTTAATAGTTTTCGTCTTTCTCTCTTTACGTTAATACGTACCTATATCAGCACGAACTAGTCTATGGTCACTGCCGGTGTTAAATTTGTTCAACACCTCGATGTTTTTACATATTGATCTATCACTGGAAAGGATAAAATCTATTTCATTCTTAACCTGACCGTCAGGGCTACGCCATGTCCACTTTCTTTGTATTTGTTTTTTATAGAACGTGTTCAGGCAAAACATTTTTTCGGTGCTTACGTAATTTGCTAATGTCTCTCCTCTGGTGTTTCTGTTGCCTAGACCGAAATTTCCTGTCATACATAATGTATTTTCTAACTTTTGCTATATTTCTATAACTCATTTTTCCGTGCTGTAAATAATATAAACTTATCTGTCTCTGTAGCAATCCAATATATTTTGTTTATTAGGTTACAAACTATATAGGGGAAACCTGCAGATATATTTTAGCCGCCCACAGAGGCCAGACAAATATTCAGCACAAAGTTAGGTCAATGTGGGGAAATGGTTTAAAAACAAATGTTTGGAAAGAATTCGTACATACTTTTAATGTTCCTAATATTCAAGAAGGATACGGGTCAACTGAGGGTAATGTTAATATAAGTAAGTATTTGGTATAATTTTCTTGGGATCATTAGTCAATTTTTTCTACCCGATTACTTTATTTATTAACGTACAGTATATCAAGTAATTTAATCCATTTCACACTGTATCCATTTTTTCTCGCCGATTATATTAATAATTTTTAGTAAATGTAGATGGAAAAATAGGCGCTGTAGGTTTCATTCCTTTAATCATATCCAAATTCTCGCCTCTAAGAATCATCAAGTACAACGAAGATATTAACGAACCTATAAGGGATAACAATGGATTTTGCATTGAGTGTAAAGATGGAGAACCGGGACTAATGGTAGGAAGAATATATAAAGCTTTAGCCTCAAGTAAATTCGAAGGATACATAGACCAAAAAGAAACCAATAAAAAACTGTTTACAAACGTTTTCAAAAAAGGGGATCTATATTTTAATACTGGAGATCTTATGGTTAAAGATGAATTTAACTATCTGTATTTTTCGGATAGGATTGGAGATACGTTCAGGTAATTCCTTTTGATATTTATTTTTTCTTTCGCTTACTTCGTTCTAAATTTTTTCCCCAGTAAATATCATTGTTATATAACTGCTTTTATTTACAACAAAATCAAGCACATCTTTCTGCCAGCCTTCTTCAATCTTCTAAAGTCGCACCTAAGTGAGAACCTTTCACACTAACGTAAATGAAGAAAAATCTATTACTATCCTATCTATACTGGAGTACCAAAAGGTATAATAGTGTTCTATACTTTGTCTCAAAGCGACTAGTCTGTACAAGGTAAGATATGCAATGCTAACCTTATGGGAATTTCACCAAGACGTTGCTAGTTTTATGCAGTGAGCGATGGCGTTCTCTGTTCTCTATCTTTCAAAATAAACGGAATAAACCAGGAGTTCTCAACAAGTTCTCACGTACAATTTTATATAATTTACAAATATCGTTACATTTGACAGCTAACTAGAAGATAATATTATTCACTATTTTTTAGATGGAAAGGAGAAAATGTGGCTACGGCCGAAATTGAATTTATAGCATCTGAAATCTTAGGACCAGTCGATCTAGTTGTATATGGAGTTGAGGTAAATTTATATATTCTCGTCTTAATTTTAGTTGTACATAAATAAGGCTTGTGTCTTATTAGGCACACGTGTGTTGCCTGGTATGGCCTATGCCGCTCAGAGAAAAATGAACAATTTTCATTGTTTGTAAAAAAAGGTTTATATAGGTTGGGAACGACTATCGGGGTAGAATTAAAAAACAGGTTGTGACAATTAGGGAGTATCGACAGACCATAATTCTTCTAGCACGGTATTACTTTATCTGGGTTTATGACATTTTATGTCCACTTCTTACTGAACTGTTATTTTTTAAAATAACATCTTGTCTAGCCAGCTCTTTTCCTAATTGGTAACATGAAGCGTCTACTTTCTCCACATTCTTCTTCTTGTTTGGGTGCCGTCTTCTTAGCGAAGGTTGGCGATGACCTATGCAAAGTCTTCCCTATTTTGGGCTTTCCTTATTAAACTTTGAAAGTCTAATCCTGTCCAATCTTTGATGTTGCGCAGCCAGGTCATTTTTCGTCTACCTGGGCCTCGTCTGACTTCTATTTTCCCTTCTATAATAAGCTGAAGGATACCTGTCGTGTCCAAATATGTGTCCAAGATAAGACATTTTACACTTCTTGACAATTTCCACCACATGTTTAGGAAAATTGTTCACTGACAATTCAATTAAATTTTGAGTACCTACAAGTTGTATTTAAATGTAAGTAGAATGTAAGTTTTTTATTTTTATTTTAAGGTTCCAAATACAGAAGGCAAAGCAGGTATGCTAGCTGCAGTCGACAAAGAAAATACAATAGACACAAAAAAATTGGCTACAGGATTTAAATCGCAATTACCAGCTTACGCCATTCCCCTATTTGTAAGACTTGTGGATACGATGCCTCTAACTTCAACTTTTAAAGTACAAAAGACACTGCTACAGAAAGAGGGATTCGATATTAATTCTATTAAGGATCCATTATTTATTTTTGACAGTAAAACCGTAGATTATGTGCCATTGGTGAATGTTTATGATGATTTTATTAGTGGTAAAAGAAAACTGTGATTTAGGTTATTGATTGTAATAAATGTTCTGTTTTTATTTTAAAGAAACCCTCTATTTTACTTGTTTCAATGTATAAGATGATTATTTATGGTTGGAAATAATAAAAATAAAAAAAAGTGTGTAAGATTTATGGGAAAAACAATAAGAAACAGTGTACTTCAGTTAAATATACAGAATAACAGCCGAATAAGAGGAAAAATTAAAATCGTTGACATGACCGCATTGCTATTGGTTTTTTTTTAGGTTAAGTTAGCCGCCGAACTGTCACTTGTTAATTTAATGGAGCTTTCACATTAGATATAGTCTTGCTACAAGTCTATTTATTGCGTATCAAAAACGTATTGTTACATTACAATTACTTTATTCCACCAGCAACAATATTACAATACTTAATACAACTGTGCAAAAACTCAATTACTACCATTATTTGAACTGTCAACTTTCTGGGTTTATATTCATTTTCTGACTTTACAAGAAATTTCGGGATTTTTAGATGATATTTTCAACATTCTAGATTTTTATTACTTTTTCTTTTTCGTCAAGGGACTTTTTCTATATGAAATAAAACTTACGGAACTGTCTTAACAGTATATTTAAAGCAGAAAGCAATCATTTGAGTATATAGAAAACTGACGAATGTTAGAGAGATGCATTCTTTTCTCAGTGCTATTCACTTAGACACATGGAACAAGTGGAACAAGATCTGAAAACACTTAAGATTACCAACTAGAAAAACAAAGCAAAGAACAGAACAGAATGGCGGAAAATCGTAGAACAAGCTAGGACCTAGAAAGGGTTGTCCAGCTACTGATGATGATGACTTGGATTCATTTAATATCTACTTGGATATACCCTTCAAACAGTCTATGTAAAATAAAAAGTTTGGAATGAAAAGCAATGATGAATTGATTAATATAATTCGATATGTTGATGATTATGGGTTATTATTCAGGGCCTTCAAAAGTTGTTGGATTATGTTAGGACGACAGCAAGAGAAATGGGTCTAACTTCACTTGTTCTATATTTATCACAAAGATTGCCAGATAATTCGGGATATAAGCTCTACTTTGATAATTATTTCAACTCAATGGAATTACTAAAATTACTTCACACGAGAGAAATAGTTACTGCTGAAACTATTGGACAAAATCGCATGGGAAACTGTACACTTCGTTTCGAAAAAGAAGTTCAGACTTGAAAATTAATTCCGATTAAAATACTGTTGCAGTTAGAAGGTCGTAATATGGCCTAAAACTTATAGAAATTTATAGAGCCTACTAATACTGTCAAACGTTGGGATAAAAAAAAACAAAAACGTGTACAAGTTGAACGTCCAGCAGTAATTAAACTTTACAATCAAAGTATGGGCGGCGTGGATAAAAATGATTTCGTTGTATCACTTTATAGAACGTTTATTACAGTAAGAAGTGGACTCTACGGATAATGTTTCACTATTTCTTTAGACCTAAAGACCTTTAGACCTAGAGAAACCTAAAGCAGAAGCCCCATTCCTTATACTCTTCTATCAGCTTTCTAATCATATATTGCATGTCGTCTTTGTCATTGGCCACTATGACCTGATCATCTGCAAACTGAAAAGTAAAAAGGTATCTGTCATCTATCTCTATACCCATTTCGTGTATTTTCCTTTTCCAGTTCTTAAGTGCCGCTGCTACATATATTTTGAATAGTGTAGGAGAGATAGGACATCCCTGACGTAGTCCCTTATTCACTATGAAGGCATCTGTGAGTTTTTTACCTATCTTAATTCTTAATTGTGAATTTTCATACAATTCTTTAAGTGCAGCTATATAGTTGTGATTGATGTTCGTTTGTTCTAATACCTTTCACAGTCTCGATACTGGGAGATTCCCCTTTTACGTTTGTAAAATATGATCCTTCCAAACGAATGAAAGAGCAACAACCTGTCAGCAGAGTGAGATACTATGAAATTTCTCACTGACCAATTCACGATGTGTGAAAAATGTAACATCTTTCTGTGCTTGTTGAAAGACAGAAATTGTTTCAAAAGTTCTTGAGACATACCTCTTGGTGGCATTTGCCACCAATTAGTAAAATGAAAAGTGGGGGGTGAAAAATTTTATAAAAAATATTTTCAGTATTATTTAGACGTCAAATTAAAAAAAAATCAACAGAAAAATTTTACCTTTGAAAAAAAAATTCAGGGCTGAAAGGGTTAAAACAAATGAAACTTTGGAGGAAGATTCTACCGTTATAACGTAGCCGAGTGTCGACAACTATTGTTGCAGTATTGTAACTCGACGAGTTACAACTCTTTCTCTCCGAATAGTTTATCTGTTGGCTCTCTGCGTCAACGGGAAAATTTCAAAAGGCATTCAAATTATGTTTTAACGTCTCCACACTAAATTGTAATATGTAAACACATTAATGACGCCTATAGCATTTATTAATAATACAAAATGAAACTAAATACAAAAATCAGATAAGAAACCTAATCCTAATATTCGAACAAACTGTCAAAAATCACAATACTGTGTAACAGTACGAGTTGTAAGACCTTTTGTCATAACAATTTTTTGACAAAGATATTAGGTACTACGAACTTATAAATCTTATAATAAAAGTAATGAATGAAATAGAACAATTTCACCATGCTTAAGTACTTTGTTATAATGGTTTTTATGGCATTTTAGTAACACTAAAAATATTTGGTAGTATAAATTTTCTTCACAAATAACAGTAAAGCTTGAATAGAAGTAGATTAGTTTAAGAATCTCATGAAGTTTACAAATATTTATATCTAAATAATAAAAACGTGAATCCAAAGATCGTTCTGATGATGAGTCATGAGATATTAAAACTATCTAAAACATTGTTTCGCTTATTATATTTGGTTGCTTCCCAATTCGTTTGACAGTAGAATCTTCCTGGATACGTGTGGCCAGGAAGCGATAACAAATGATTCGATTTCACATTCGTTGCTTCCTCGTACGATTCTGAAATATCCATCTTCTCCCCAGTTGGCACCCCAGCTGTTGGCTACTTTCTGCAACAAGAAGACAAATATTGTATTTAAACAAATAATTTAACTATTCAAATGTCTTTATATGTTCTGTTACTGTTATCAAGGCTTGCTAACAAAACCACGTTATTCGTTACTATGGTTACTGCATAGACAATTGGAATAACCACAAAACTAGTTTTCAATGTTTTGAAGATTTTTGTTAAATTCGGCAAACGCGCATCTATCGCTATTTAATACATCACTGCTGTCTTCTACTAAATGACACGTGAACTTATTTTCTCATCTGTTAAGTGATAGCTGAACTAATTTCTCACTATCAAAATGCCAACTTAATACGGTAACATCAACAAAATCCCTAGTTTGCAGCTTTTAATTGTAATTTTATCTTTAGGTACAGTTAATTTAAAAATTACGGCAGTATGGATAACAAACATTTGCTTAAAATAAAGGTTTTTGAATAGTTAATCATTTAACGTAGTTATTTTGCACCTAAGTTCAATAATTATTTCACAATACCAATTTTTAGGCACGTTACCACGTAAGTTATGACATGGATTCATTTAAGTACAGTTATGAAAAAAATACTGCTACTTTTGGAAATGTTAACTAGATATCATTAAAATAGAAAGTTTACAGTTTACGTACATAATCATAACTTGAAGATTTGTTTTGAAATAGTGACGATAACTGTACCTAAAAAGTATATAAATTTTAACATTGTGACATACTACCTTAAGTGAGAAATCATGCGCCCTATAAGATCTATCGTATCTACTTTTTGCACTTTCTGATTACTTAATGACAAGAGCAGTTTAAGCAGCCTTATTCCTCCCAGAAAGTTTAGTAAATCGAGGCATTATATTAGGTAAATCTACGTCTCATACTTTCTTAGATAACGTGCTCAGGAGATCCAACAGTTCGAAATGAGTAGGGGAAAGGGGGGAAAGTTGGCCGCTTGGGTAATGGTAGTCATGAAATATTTACATTTACCTAACCTAACCTAACCTAACCTAATATTATTTCGCGTTTAATGTCTGTTGCGCCATCTAACAGCGTTTCCTTCAAACTGTACCTAAAACAATGACGATGTTTTGCCGGCAAAGAAGGAATTTTTGAAAATGTCATATTTTGTTGGAGTTGATGCATTAGTGCAAGATTTTTAACGAAATGTAGAAGTATGTAATTAAGTTTATTTAGTTGTATAAATCAAATTCTTAGGCGGCCACCATTCCCCCCCTATCCCCTATACAAGTATGTATAGAGGTTTCACCTTCTATCTTACAGAATCTGCATTCTGCTACGATGTTTTCAGGTGTTTTAATGTTTTTCTTTTAAAACAAGTAAAACTAATTCCAACTTCCCGAGTCTCCAGGTAATAAATACTGATCCGACCTTAATATTCTTTAAAAAAACTTACCCAGTATTTCTGAACACCTCTAAAGTTATATTCTTCACCCCATCCAACAATCCTTACAGAGTGGTAACCTTGTTTGTGATTGACAGCCAAATCTGAGTGTTTGTATATTCCACCGCTGTATGTAAACAGATCGTGATAAACTTTCATGGTAGCTAAAAAAAGAAGAAAAAAACGGTTAACATTGAACAAGTCCTCCCTTTTTAAATTTAATGTTTGTTTCGTCAACTTTTTAAGTCCCAAAGAAATTTGATATTTACAAGTTGAAAGAATTGCACACCCACACAATTTGTACATCTAATTTCATTCATTGTCATACAACTGTCACCTTCATAAAATCTCAATAAATAACACACATTTCATAAATATATCTCTTGAATAAATATAAATAACTTTTAAATAATTTAATAATATAGAACATCACTCTCATCTAACAAACAATCACATTACACCTATCTCTACTTCATTGGATAAAATCTATCTCCTCAAGAATATCTATTTATTGTGAAACAATTACAATAGCAAAACTTAAGTTCTCTATTAAACAATGCAGTGTAGTTTGAACGATGTTCTTCCAACCATTAATTAATAGAGTACCGGCATGTAAGTAATGTTTTATTTATTTACTAATTTATTACAATTCAATAGACTATTTTATACCAATTTGTGGGTCTTACC